GTACATGGACCATGCACTGTCACACAGGACACATCTGTGTACATGGAGCATGTACTGTCATGAAGACACATAAGGAACAGACAAAGGGCAAGCTGGCTGAGGAACAAAGATGACTGTGAATGCTGTCACTTTGGTAGTTTTGAGGGTTAAATGAGGATGTGACACAGTGGCATGTGTGATGACTATTCTTATTGTCAATTTGACTACATCTGGAATTAACTAAAACCCAAGTGGCAGGGCACACCTGTGAGCGACCTTTTTCCTGATTATATCTTTTAAAATGGAAAGGCCTATTTTTAATCTGGATCTTTTGGAGAAGAAAGCTACACCTTTAATCTAAACTTTTTGAGACAGAAAAATCTACTTTTAATCTGTTCCACACCTTCTGCCGGCAGCCTAGATAAAGGACATGGACGGAAGCTTGCTCTCTTTGCTTATTCTTGCTCTCTACCAAGTCTATTCCTTCACTAGCACTAGAGCCTACTTCTGTGGGATTCCAGTGTATACTGAAGACCAGCTGAGATATACAGCCTGGCAGACTGAACAACTACTGGATTCTTGGACCTTCCCTTGGTAGACAGCCATTGTTGGACTAGCTGTCAGCCTGTAAGCCATTCTAGAAAACTCCCTTTGTAAATCCCCTAATAAATCTCCTTATATATGTATACATAAGTGTGTATACACATACATACACACATACATATATACTAAAGATATACCCACATAAGACATCTGTAGGATAAGACGTCCCACAGAAAAAAACAACACAGACTATGAATAAAATTATTTTAAATCAGTATTATATTGGGTGGTTTTATAAAAGAAATTTTATGGCAAACTGGAGCTTCATGAATGCAGACTCTGAGATTCTTCTATAGAGTTACTGTCAACCCCCTGGCATCTGGTAATAAAACAGCATTTCAATTTCAAGAGCTGTCTAATAAAACATGTAGGGTGGTAAAACATTATAATGCCTATAACTTACTTGCAAATAGTTCCGATTTAAACAGTACTTTTGCAGGAAGGTTCAGACATATATTTGGCAAATCCTCACTAATCTCACAAATCTGATTAGAAGTTATTTGGAGTTTCACTGGGTCTTTCAATTTTATGCTCAAAGTTCTTAATATAAATGTAGTTGCTATTCTTGATTGTCAACCTAGCACTTTTGGGAAGTGGGAACCTCAACTAAAGAACTGCTTCCATTAGATTGGCTGGTGGGCATGTCTGCCGGGCATTTTCTTGGTTGCTAATTGTGCAGTGCCACCTCTGGACAGGTGGGCCTGGGCTGTGTAAGAAAGGCAACTGAGCAAGCCAGCAAAAAAATGAAGTCAGTCAGTAGTATTGTTCCCTGCCTCCTCCTTGAGGTCTTCTCTTGGCTTCCCTCAAGGATAGACTACAATCTGTAAAATAAACCTTTCCCTTCCCTGTTGCTTTTTTGTCAGTGTTTCTCACAGCAACAGAAAGGAAAGTAGGACTGCAAACATGAAAGAGAACTCTATGTCCCTCTGAGATCGAGATAAACAGCTATTGTTGCCCAAGCCAATATCCCTCAATCCACCTCTACTCACCGATTTATCTGCCCGTGTTTTGTTCTCATCTGTCTGACTCACAGAAGCTGCTGGCAAAGCTGCTCCTTTTTCTTTAAACAGATCTCCTTCCTCATCATCAAAGATAATAGCAGTGGACTTGACTTTGTATTAAAAAAGAAACCACAGCATAAAAATTACACCAAGGTCAAAATAAACACACACACACACACACTTCTCTTCCAAAGATAAATATGAAAGGTGTCGTATTTCTTGCTCACTTACAGATAAATACAAAGTAAACGAAGCCCTGCTCTCCCTTTAGTACTGCTTCCTCTCATTTTCCCTGCAGTTCTCTGAGGGCTGTCTACGGAGAGTGACATGCCAGTCAAGTGCTCTGCCACAGAACTACTCTCCCCGGTTCCATCTCCTGGTACTATTCAGAGAGCAACAGCAGTTCAAATAAAGCAAAAGACACTAACCATATGAATGAACCTCCTCCAAACAGAAGACTCCTATGCTAAGTATATCCAAGACAGGATTAAAAAGCAAAGATCACTTTAAGAAGCCAAAAAGTCATTAATTGTAGGGCAGAGATGTGAAGGGTGACTCCTGCTTTCATTAAAAACCAAACTATACAGAAGTAGATGAAAGCAAATGCTGGCATTCCCCCATCCCCACCTGCCCATCCGGACAAGACAGACAGAACAGCTTGGTATACATGTCTAAATATTACCTTAAGCTTATGTCAGCTATTTATAAGATTATAAATGTTGAATAATCTGAGTAAAATGACCTACCATTTGTGTTTTCCATTTAATATACAATGGAAATATTCCAGGGTAAAAAAGTAAATGCCTCATTCTTTTTAACAAGATTTATATTTATTTACTTATGTGGTTGCATGTGTGTTTACTCAGTTTTAGGGGTGGGAGTGTGCATCTGTGCATGTACACAAAGGTCAGGTGTCCCGTGTCCTATTACTCTCTACCTAGTCCTTTGAAACAGGGTCTTTCCCTGAACTTGGCCTTGTGTTTTCTCTACCAGCCTCGAAGCCAGCAAACCCCAGTGATCCTATCTCTGCATTTTTACAGCTGGAGGTTCGGGCATTAGTCCCCAGCACTTGTAGAAAGTACTCATAACATCTGAGCCATCCCTCCAGTGGCTCATTCTTTTCAACATTTTACAAAGACCCACTAAACAGAAAGAGCACAGCTTTCCTGACTAAGAAAAAAACAAGTATTTCCCTACTTTGTTCCTCAAGCATAACCACGTCAGAGAGTAAAAGCACAGGAAAGACTTCAGTGTGGACTTCAGAGGAGGGAAGAACTCTGAGGAGGAAACATGCCAAAAATGCTGGGGAGTGGGGAGGATTCGCCAAGCAAAGGATAATCTGAGCTCTCGGGCGAGAAAAGAGAAGCTGGGAATTAAGCAACCACCATGCAATGTTCTGCTTATGTAATTACCCAGAGATGCTAGGAGGAAGTGTGACTAAATTACTGCCTGTAATTTGAAAGGCAGAAGCAGACACGTCAAGAAAAGAATACAGGAGAAGAAAGTCAGCTCCCTATAAAAGAAGATAACCTCAGTAACCAATTCCCCAAGCAGAAAAGATTGACCTATGAGGGACCCCCAAGGCTATAACACAATTTAAGCATAGGTAAGACAATGGTAGCAATGTTCAGTAAGGCATTCTGGAACTGCAAGAGACACTGAATGTCAAAAACTGTGTCCCCGTAAGTATAATTTTCTTCTCTAAGTTTCCAGAATTAGCATGAAAGTGGTACCAGTCTTGGAAGGCTTGCTAGAAGATGGCATAAAAAAGTTGTTATCATCTTCATCATTGTCATTATCATCATCATCAAAGAGGCCAGCAGGAGTTGGCAAATGTGGGCTCTTCCCTGGAGTGGGCTGCTCATGTTTCTGGAACTCCTTCAGTGATGGGGCAGAGGTGGACCCAGACACATCAGTATATCCTGAGGATGGAAAGACAGTCAGAGCTATGCTCCAGTGGGAGCCTCCTGACAGCACTCATGAGTTAGGTTCATCCCAGAACACTGAAGAAATGAAACAACCTTTGTGCTCGTGTTGAAGAGCTAAACCATACTGCAGGGTTGCGCTGCCCTCAGGAAACTGCACTGATCCCCTCACTCCTTCCCCCATGCTGTCTGTCAGTCTCTCCTCTTCTTTTCTCTTTTCTCTTTTCCTCTCTCCTTTCCCCAACACCTGCAGTCCTCTGCAGTACTGGAGAGGAAACCAGAGCCATCCACATATTAAACAAGTACTAAACCACTTTGTCACATCCCCAGCCCCAAAGACTCTGAATTCAAACAGAATGTGAGCTCAGAGCATCAATAAATATACTGTAGTTATAAACACTCCAGTGCCTTCTAGGGCTCCTGGGTACACACTGCCAATCCCTAGCCAGTCCTTCTAAGATGATGACAAAATGGATTTATACAGTTCTTAAGAAAGAGCGCTGGGGTGATGGCTCTGCAAGTAAGTGCTTGTTCTGAAACATGAGGATCACAATTCAAATCTTCAAAACACACACACACACACACAAAAAGTACAGGGTGTGTCTGATACCTGTGCCTGTAACCTCAGTGCTGGCATGGGCTTAGGAAACTCTCTAGGGCTTACTGGCCACCAGCCTAGTTCCAGGTTCAGTGTAAGACCCTGCCACAAAGGAATATGGAAGAGTGCTAGGGCTTTGTCTTCTTCCCTCTGCACACAGAGGCATATGTGCATACAATATACACATATACGGCTTCCCCTCGCATTCACATGTGTATACAATAAACACACACACATGTGTGTGTGCATATAGAATAAAACCTGTTACCTAGAAGTACAGAAACAGCTCCTGCTGGGATTTTCTTTCCAGGTTTAGGGGATGGAGGAGATTCTAGAATAAGAAAGAAAAATCAATCACTTCACCAGATTTGCTGAGCATGGCAGGACACATCTGCAATCACAAGACTTAACCAGCTGAGGCAGGAGGATGGTCATGTATCAAGAACAATGCAAGGCTATACACTAAGCACCAGACCAACCATATCTACAAAGCAAAACTGTCAAAAAGAAAAAAGAAAATTGCCCCTTCTCTGGGGCAGTTTGTTCCTAATTAAGTCTTTTAAAATTATTATTATTTTTTTTTTTTACTGGTATCAGCAGCTTTTTCCTTAGGATTAACGCAGTATAAACTATGACTCCCATGGAAGACACACTGAGGTTAAGCAGCAGCAATGAAGATATCTGGGGGAGTCAAGAACAGAGCAAGCAAGGTCTTTCAAAACAGGTCTAATGCTACTCCTCCAGCTCAATGAGATCAACTAGTGAAAGGGAACAGCAAAAATCTGAGAGATGGTTGTGAAGAATATAAAGTGAATGAAACAAGGAAAACAAGAAAAGGGGGATGACCAGACAGTGGGATGAGGACGGCCCCAACACGGAACACATCACACGGGAGGACAGCCTCCAGAACACATCACACGGGAGGACGGCCCCAACACGGAACACATCACACGGGAGGACAGCCCCAACACGGAACACATCACACGGGAGGACAGCCCCAACACGGAACACATCACACGGGAGGACAGCCCCAACAC